GGTTTAGGGTTTAGGGTGTCCAAGGACCCAAATAACAGGGACCCTTTAAAGGGTTTTATAGGGGCTTTCAGGGCCCAACTACCATTACTATTCTAGTTTGGGTTCTGCCCCCTCCCAGTAACAGTCTATATTAGGGGTCCTAGAATAAGGGCTCTATATAACCATATTATAAGTATGATCCAGCTGTTGCTGAGGGGGGGCAGTACCCAACCCCAAGGGTCCAAGGACCCAAATAATGTGGACTAGGGTTTAGGCTTCAGGGTTCAGGGCCCTTTACAGGGGTTATAGGGGGTTTTAGGCCCAAATACCATTACTATTCTAGTATTTGGGCCCTAGAGCCCTATTATTTGGGTGGTGGTCAACATTATGATCCCTTTCTAAGGGTACCCTAAATATTAGGTGCCAGATTCTAATAGGGATCCAAAAAGGGAGCATAATGTTGACAACCGCCCACATGAATGGTGAGGCAAATGGAACCATGAGATGGTGTCGATGTTTATGGGAAGACATTAGGTCCTCTTTGATGAAGCAAAAAAAGGAACAGGGGCCAACACCTGCAGCCTAAAGTGCCTAAAGCATGCATGGCGCTACAGTTAAGATTTCTGTTGGTGCGAAAATTCCTGCATGAGTTTGGTAAACTAGAGATTCCCAACGTGCAAGGTTCTACAGAGCCATGCAAAATTTTCTGTATGAACCGTTCTGACCAAGCTTGATGAGCTCATATGCTAAACCCTAAGCCCTACTTGGCTAGGCATGGGAAGGCTTTAGCCAAAGATAGCCCAAGTAGTGGCTCTTTTAGAAGGTAGCTTCCCTTAGGTGGACCTCCTAGTAGGTACTGTAATAGTGAGATAATTGGAATATGAGAGGACCTTAGTGTGATCTCCAATATCCGTTACGGTCACTTTACAACAAGGTGGGGTCCAAATTTCCCGTACTGTTGTAGAAGGGAATATATTCATGAATAAATTTGGTGGCCTATGAAGTGCCACCCAGCCAAGTTTTTCTAGATGGTTCCTGAGACTGGAGGTCGTCACTGGCAAGGCAGCACCATCAGCTCCACCAAAAGCAGTTGCTGATGCGTGGGACGCTTTCGATGACCTGGAGGTGGGCAGCGTAAGCCAGTGGCAGTTACAATGAAAGTCCCTCTTCTTAGCCTGAGGAGCCGGTTCTCAGAGCCTCTTGTTACATCAGAAAGTTGCTTGGGACTGCAGATATTAAACAATCTTACATGACCTGAGTAGGCTATAATACCAAACTTCCCAAGGAATGAAGTGTTCAGGATCATGCAGGATGTATGATATCCATGGGGTGGATGGCGCAACCCCCCTTTTTTGATGCCGAAACCTGTCCTGGGAGCAAAAGCCATGCACACAGGAAACATGGCGGCAGCCGTCACAGGGATCAAAGGCAAAGTAAAGGAAGTTGGGTCTAGGAAATGAGCTTCAACATAACGGCTTCTGCAATCGTTGTCCTTTAGCCCACCTGCCTCGAGTCCTCTGCTAGAGCCCCCTGAAGCTGTGTCGCTTTACAAACAATAGTTGAGACTTGAGGGTCTCCCAAAATCAACATAAGGGGCCACCATGGGCCACCCTTTCTGGGTCCCAACAGTGGGTGCTAGAGAATTTTTCGGTCTAGATTGGGGGTCCCTAAACCCTAAACTTTATGGAAACTGCCACTTCTCATAAGCCATACCTCAAGGGTCCAAGGACCCAAATAATAGGGTTTTAGGGCTCAGATACTATAATATTAATAGTATTTGGGCCCTAAAACCCTATTATTTGGGTCCTTGGACCCTTAGGGATAGGCAGACCGTCAGGTTCGCGAGAAGATTCCACTTCATCTTTCATGTGCCAGCCCTCTGGCTCACGCATAAGGTTGTCTGATCTCCGTATACACCGTTAACTGCCCCTACATGAGCTATACTCTAGACTCCTTAAATAGAGGGTTATAGGGGATGCTGTAGGGGAATATCATAGGGATTATCAAGTAAGGGGGATACGCTCATATGGTCCTTTATAACCCATATGGTAGTTTCCCAAAATAGGGGTACCCCAACATAGACCCCAAGAATCCTATAGTCCTTATTATAGGGACCCCCAAAAAAGGTACCCCTAATTTTGGGAAACCCCCATAGAATGTTACATGTATTCCCTCCTCCTACTGGCAGGGATCCGGAAACTCTATGGGTTGAAGGTTTGAGCGTCTTACCACTATGGGCTATTAGACCCTAAAATTCCCTATTAGGACCCTATTAAGGGTAGATTAAGGTACCCTTAAGGTCTAATAGCCCATAGTGGTATGCTCGCTGCTGATCTTTTACAATTCTTCACCGAAATTGGCATGTGGTACACTCCTGGAAACTAACATGGAAACCCAAAAGGGCCCTATAAAGACTACAGTCCCTCTAAAATGGGGCCATATGGGTTTCCATGTTAGTTTGGGGGAGTGTATGTGTTACAATGCTATCCCCGCCTAGAACAATTAGGTTTATCAAGCCCTGCATACTCCTCATCAGCTCCTTGAACCCGAGGGTACCTTTTGGGGAGATGATAGGTATCATGACCTTAACCTAAAGCTACACTTCCCTAAAGCCAAAACCCTATACCATGAATCGTAGTTTCCATTCAATTTTCCATTATCCAAAACAACCAAATCATAACCCTCATATTACCCCAACGGGTAGCAACCCTTCATAGAACCCCTGTATAACCCCTATATAACCCCATATAAAACCCTGAACCCTAAACCCTAAACCCTACATAATCCCCATGTCAGCTTTTGATACGTTGCAGGCGGGGCACCAAGATGCCGACACCGAGTCCATGTACGAGCCTGGCGCGCAGGCAGTGCCGAAAACGTGCGAGCTATATAGCCTAGACTCCTTAGAGGGGTCATATAGTGAATATACATATATGTATATATGTGTGTGTAGGATTCTAAAGGGGTCATATAGTGAATATCAATATATATATATGTGTGTGTAAGGATTCTATTATGAGGGTCATTAAGAGGGATACTAGAAGTTTGGACTATAGCTCGTGTAGATGGATCCTGCTGTCTGTCATTGCCGGCATGCATCCGTCGTCGCTTGGACGCTGACCAGCCAACCGGGCTGGGGTGGTTCGAGCGACAAGCTGTTCCCCTCAGCCTGCTAGGATTGGCGAGTTGTGGTGACAATACAGGCAAGCGCAGACTTGAGCTGAAGCTTTTTTCCGACAAGGCGCCATCCGCGCCCGGATCGGCTGACGTGAGGGACGCCTTCGATGCTGTGGAGGCGGGTAGCATGAAAGCCGCAAGCAGCCGTTGACGTCATCAAGGATGGCATTTGTAAGGGCTATGCTCTCACAAGTCGCAAGGATAGCAAGGCAAAAGGCTCCATAGATAGACCGCTGACAGCCCATTTTGCTTCGCGATGTTTTCTTGACTGCTTCCCTTTTACAGAATTTCTACTGCATGAGCAAGCTGACGGGAGTGCATCAGCTCTCCAATTTCTTTGACCTGACTTGGGAATGGAAGCAGCACCAAGCAGACATGCTGTGGCTGCTCCTTCTGTTGCCTCTGCAGCTGCAAAAAAATGGGTTCTGTATATTGCTGTTCAGGAACTTGATTCAAGTTACCATTGTCTGGGTACGGTATCATTCACCATATATCCAATGCAAGTCATAGTAATTAACCTATTTCAAGTTGGCCGCGGCCTCTGCATTGCAACCAACATTCCTGCCACTTTCGCAAGGGCTGTGATCTGGCGACTCAACTCTTCTCCACGTCCCTGATGAAGAATCCTAGCTTAAACATAGGGACTATATATATATATATATAGGCCAAATAGGGATTCTATAGGGATTATATAAGGATTACATATTTATAGTAAAGGGCCCGACCGTGGGTAAGATTCCAGAATCTCTTAATAAGGTGTTGGACAGCTTCTTTTTGCCTGTTTGTCTTCGGCCGCCAGTGTTCAACATAGGCCTCTCTCTCCTGCTTCCGAACCATGCAAATCCCTGGGCAGCCAGGAGCCCTAACCCAACCAAGTCGCTTTGATGCGTTTGCAGGCGCAGGACAGGGCAGCTGACGCAGAGTCCATGTACGAGCCTGGAGCAAAGGCTCTTGGCGAAAACATGCATGTAGATCGATCCGGTCCGTCACGGACCGTCTTAGTGCAATTCTGTTCGCCAGCATGCACCGTCTAACAGTGATAGGGCAGCACTACTGCACAACAGTGACAGCTTGAACTTACCCCCCAAACTATGCTTGTCTGATTTGGGCCGGGTCTGATTAACGATTTTTCCAGAGTTTCTGAGGACGCAGGCTATGCAGATCTTCTGAAGCATGGCAGACAACTATAATCCCAATATATACACTATTATAATACAGTAGGTTCCATTTTATTTCCCGTGATCCCTATATAATCCCTATATGGTTATTTTGCTTGCAGACGGGAGGCCAGCACTGCTACAGCAGCCACTGGAACGCCGCCAAAGGCAGTTGCTGATACGTGGGACGCTTGCAATGAAGTGGAGGCGAGCAGACACCGGTAGCGGTCGTGACGCTTCCCTCTCGTGGATAACACTTACATGAGGCCCTGAAATCTACAGATCTAACCTACATTGCGCTGTTTGGAGCCCTAGGGATAAACAGTTTCCAGGAAAGCTCAGCCCCACCCTTTTCAGCGCAAGCAGCGAGGAATTCAAGTATTGTTGCGGGGTGCTGCTTCTGCTGGGGCCTGCGGCCTGCCATTGCATGTGCACTCTAATCGCCAATGGGTTAATGGTCTTGAGTGGCACTGGCTGCGCTCGCCTGGCTCGCTGCTTTACTCCAATAGTCTACCTTTCAGTCTATGTGTAGCCAGGTGCTCTATGGCCGACCTTGCTCAAAAGCACAGACATGAATCGTTGTTGTATGTTGTTGTCTTTTCCTCCGGAACGCTGCGAAATTTTCGGAGCGGACACCGCAACAGCCAGCGTTTCCAACCAAATCATCTTCGATGCGTTGCAGGCGCTGCGCAAGAAGAACGACACAGAATCCATGGCTGTGCCGCTAGCATGTAGATCTGATCTGCCTAGCAAGAGTGGTCAACGGATCCAGGTCAAAAGTGTTGTCCACTTTTCAGCATCCGGATGCGATGTGGCTGCACATCAGGTCCAAGACCCGCAGCCTGAAGCACCAGCCCCTTAATCCCTTTATTGTGAGCAGGTTGCTCTTCTTGGCCTACAGAGTTAAAACTAATTTGCCCGAAGCTGGCCCTGTGTCCCCTTCACGGCAGGTCGGCAGCCGTATTGCAGCGCCTTCACAGCCACCAAAATCAGTCGATGCCGTCGAGGTGGGCGGCAGGAACCGCATGAGTAGCTGCCTCGCTTGCAGATCTTGAATCGTGCCGCGAGATGCTGCGCACTGGCGAACTGGCAGCAGAAGGGCTCCCAAGTCTCCAAGCTGTTCCGGTGCATCAGAAAGCTGCTTAGAATAGGTGAGTTCCGGTGGAATTCAAACATCGCGTTGCGGATTCTGCTTTCAAGCCGACAGCTAACGCTAACACTGGCGGGTTTCCAGGGGGTTGGTGGCCTGACCCTTGATTTCTTTTGCGCTCTTGGGAGTCTCTTTGCTTCTCTGGCCACGTGTTGTGGCCCACTGTGAATGAGCGTGCTTGTCAGTGCTTCAGGCACGCAGTGCCTTTAGCGGAAAGCCCTCACAGCACAGCAACCACAAGCAGCATGTCAATAAGCAAGAGCTGTCCCCGAGCATCCAGGACAGATTTGTCCCAACCTTTGACCATCTAATCCCCTCCCGCTACGCAAGATTGAGCAACTGGGATTTCAGGTGGTGGGGCGGGATTTCAATATCAGGAGAAGTGGATTACCCTTTAGGACTCCCAGTTACCTAGATAGTAGGTTACTGGGCTGTGTAACTATAGGGCATATAGAACCCAGTTCCGATCATTTAGGCAACTGGGAGCCCGAGGGAATCCCGAACAAAGCTCACAATATAACCCCAATATACTATATAGTAGCTTCCATTTTCCATAATCCCGATATGACCCCAATATAGCAGTTCTCATTATTTAGGTAACTGGGAGCTCTAAGGTTACCTTTAACGTTGGAGCCCTAGGGTTACCTTTAAAGACAAGTCCAAGACTGGCGGCCTCAAGCTCTGGAGTAGAGTCCCCCTCAAGTAGATAGACTATGGGGTTT